TAGAACTGACATAAACTAGCATGCATCAAGAGCTGAAGTGAAGAAGTCAAAATGTCTATTTTCTGAGATGGAATTGCTCATAGCTTAAGTAGGAGAAGCCTGTGTCCAGAGAGTAATTTACTAATGACAGGAGAGGTACCTCTGATCAGGAGCGGTCCAGGACTTGGGTCTGATATATTCTCTTGCAAGAGCGTATGACAAATCCAGAAGATATCTGGGTTTTTTTTCTTTTTTTGTTTTTTACACACAGGACTTCTTAATTAAAAGGATAGTATTTCTGTTCCGTTTGACTTGCTATTCTGTTGGGGAACCCCTGACAGTAGAAGTGGATGCAGAAGCACCTTTATGCCGACTCTGTTTTTATTTGCATTTTCACCTATGAGGAGTAAGGCTAAAGACGTTCTTTTTTTAATGTACAGTATCAACAGGACTTCTTATCGAGTTTTATATGTAAATATGTATTTGAAATGTAAACATATATATATATATATATATGAGCTCTGGTAGCGTAGTGGTTACAAATCGGGCTGCGAACCGCAAGGTCAGCATTTCGAAACTACCAGCTATTCCATGGGAGAAAGATGAGGCTTTCTGCTCCCATAAACATTTACAACCTCAGAAACCCTATACGGGGTTGCTATGTCGGAACCAACTCCATAGCACATAACAACAACAACAACATACATATATATATATATATGTATGTAAGTTGTTGTTAAGTGCCGTCGAGTTGGTTCTGACTCATAGCTACCCTGTATAGGGTTTCTGAGTCTGAGGAGCAGATGGTGAGCTTGAATCACTGACCTTGAGGTTCAAATCAACCATATATATAGAGAGAGAGAGAAGAGAAAGAGAGAGAGAGAGTCCTGGTGTGGCATTGTGGGTTAATGTGCTGGACTTCAAGGTTGATTTGAATAGGAGCTCTGGTAGCGTAGTGGTTATGAATCATGCTGCTAATCTCTTGGTCAGCAGTTCGAAACTACCATCTGTTCCACAGGAGAAAGATGAGGCTTTCTGCTCCCATAAAGATTTACAGCCTCAGAAACCCAGTGCAGGGTTGCTATGAGTTGGAACTGACTCCACGGCACATAACAACATATATATATATATATATATATACACAGAGAACCCACTCAAAAGCACTTAACAACAAATTGTATGTAGATATATATATATAGAGAGAGATACAGATAGATAGTCTGGTGTGGTGCTGTATGATCAGCACTGGACTGCGAACCACAAGGCGGCAAGTTCAAACCCACCCTATACAGTGTCGCTATGAGTTGAAACTGACTCAGTGGCACTTAAAAACAACAGCACACACACACACACATATATAGTCCTGATGTGGTGCTGCAGATTAATGTGCTGGACTGCAAGGTCAGTTTGAGCCACAAGGTTGATGGTTCAAATCTACCAGCCACTCCTCAAAAACCCTGTACAGGGTTGCTATGAGTTGGAACTGACTCGGTGGCACTTATACAACAACATACACAAACATAGGTTACATTCTTACAGTGTGGAGATAATCATGTGTACTCACCTCTGTTTCATTGTTGCTCTTGATTCATCCAAGGCAAGCAGAACTCCAGCTGACCCGCTTCTACTTTGGTTTGTCATCTCCCATCTTACAACCATCAGTAGCTGAGGGGAGCTCACACCAGAAACTTGCCCCATACAAAATGCCCTGTTCTGCCCACATTGCCAAAAACTGTGCTGAAGACATTTCATAAAATGACGACGCGTGGTTACTTTAATCTCTAAACCTTAAGTGGAGATTATCTCTCTGGAGCAGTGCCTTGTGGAATCGAGTCCTTGGCACCATTCACTCTGCCTCCTTCTTTAGAAGTGGTGGCTTCCTTTTAGTCAGCAAGGAGGTGCCCCTCACCTCGTCTCACACACTTTGTGTGGAGTCCCTGACTAGAATTACTTCAGGTTCTAGTGTGGGATCTACATTGTGGAAGATATTTCCTTTTCTTCTCCCATCTTCTGTTGTAGGTGTTCTTTGGGGTCAGAAGGGAGGAGAGTATGGCCTTTCACGACACTTTAGACTCATCCCTTGAGTCAGGTTACCTGAGATGCCTCATCTTTTTTGTGAGGTCACAAACCTCACTCTGTGGCTTCCTTTGACTTGTCTTTCCCTGTAAGCCCAACTTCCCTTTGCTAATAACGTGTGTTAACAGAAACCTGAAAATGCAGAGAAACTTTGTAATCTGAATATTCTTTCATCTCTGCCTTGGGGAAAAGAGACACTGTGTGCATTGACAGCCGACAAAGGCCATTCTTGGTTCCTGGTGGTTAGATGACACTAGCTGGACCCAACGTGAACCATCCTGGATAGTCAGGTCTCTGTGTTTCCAGTAACTTGAGAAAGACACACTTGGCCCCTAGACTTGCTGGAGAAGCTGAATTTGATAACCTATCTGAAGTGAGCAGTATTTGTCTTCAGCTCAGAGTTTTGGAGGCAACCAGAACAGCAGACGCTCCCGTCTTACAGCTCTGCTCACGCTTGTGAGGACAGACGGACAGAGCTTTCCAAGTCACTTTTATATATGTATATATAATTGCAGACTTACTGTAAAACGTTTAGTTTGATCTTTTATCTCTGAGTAATAATGTCAGAAAGTCCCAGTGATGGCTGTCCTTCTAAACCAGAACCAGGTACGTGGCGTTGAGGCGCAGATGGGCAGTGGGGTTTCTAATGCTTGCGCAGAGAACATTAGACATGCCAATCATGAGAAAACAGCAGAGCCTATTTCTTGTTTAAGGGACTGTCTGGCGAGAGGGGTTTTACATGTGTACAGTTTGCACGTAGAAGGGAAAGAATTGGGGAAGACATAATTCAAACTATGTCAACATTCCAGAAGGACATCAACAGATAAATGTCATGGGCAAACAACTTGAAAGCTGTTGATTGTTTTCAACAGCTGATTTACGGCCGGTTTTTATTGGCATCAATAACTTTGGGTTGGCAAGTATGATGCCAGTTGGGCAGAAGACTGTAGTTACTCGGTTTCACGTTTGGAGCTACATCCAGGCAGGGTTTAGAAGCTCTTTCCCTCCAGGTTGGTTACTTGTTATGCTGGGGAGAAGCTGCTCTAAGAATTTTTCTGGTAGTAATGTTCAGTTATTAGCTAAATTTTTCTCTTTAAGACATTTTAGAACAGAGAAGCTTTGATTCTCTAGAAGAGGGGTCTTGATATATTTATGGAAGGTAAGCACTGGACAGTGAACCACAAGGTCTGCGGTTCAAACCCACCAGCTGCTCCTCGGAAACCCTACAGGGAGTTGCTGTGAGTCGGAACTGATTCTGTGGCACTTAACAACAACAACAACTGCTTTTAAAGTAATATAATTTTCTGAGTCTGAGTCTTAAGGTACTTGGTCAACAAAGTTCACATCCTACAAAGTGACTAGCTGGTCTGTGCTGTGTTTTTTATTATGATTATGATTTTGAAAAGTTCAGGGAAATGATTAGTAATCCCAGGTATATATATATTTTAAAAACCATAAATACCTTAGTCCTTTCCTTTGTTGTTACGAGTCTTAATTATGAGACATTTGTGGTCTAAAGGCCTTGGGGGTTGTCTGACCAGCCTTGAGGAATTTTGAAATAATGAGGTAACTGTTAAGGAAGCATGGCTGCAATCTGAAAACATAGAAAAGAGGCACAAGAGGGCGAGCAGACAGGAGTTCCACGTTGGGCACGCTTCAGTTGGCAGGGGTCTTCAGAGAAACTTCTAAGGAAGTGATCTCTTAAGATGCAGCTATGGGGTTGTTACTTGAGAACGTGAGGTTGGCTCCCTTTCAAAAACCTGTTTCATGAGATATGAAGAATTCTTGAACACAAGTGCGGAAGTACCCCATTCAACTTCTGTCTCAGAATCGTAAAGATAAAAACCTATTGCCCTTAAATCCATCCCAGCTCCTGGTGACCCCACTTGTAATAATAGCATTGAACTCATAGTGACGTTTTAGGTGGGGTTTTATTGGCATTGGAGGAAGATGATAGCAGTAGATTGTCAAGAACGACCATAACTTTGTGCTCGGCTTTATCCCCCTGGGCTGTAGGGAACTCGTATCCTAAGTTCCTAGCACAGTGTGTGACTCAGGGAGATTATGACCCTTTTCCGGCTGGAATCAGAACTGTGTTGGTGCAAACATCCTGCCAACTGTGTGACCTAGAACCACTCAGCTTCTCTGGATCGCTCCTCATTTGCAATATGCAGCCGTGTATCGTATTCCATGTGGTTCTATAAGCGAGTTTGAGGTAGCTTTCAAATTTGTTTATAACACAATATGGTGAAAGCAGAGACAGCACTGTTATTTTTGTAAAGTGCCTTCAAGTTGGTTCCGACCCATAGTGACCCTGTATTGGATTTCCGAGGAGTGGCTGGTGAGTTTGAACTGCTGACCTTGGGATTCATACCGACTTTGCAGTCTAGCGCATTAACCCACAGCGACACCAGGACTCCAGAGAGCACAGAGAAAGGAAAATGGTGTACTAATAAATTGAAGGCCAGGGGTCAAGTCACTAGACACAAAAAGGTAGCTTTTGAATTCAACCTGAAATTTCTTGATGGCCTGCTCAAGGGGTAAAAAGATGAAGACATGAGACTAGAACCTGCCACACTTAATTTTTGAGGAGTCTGATGGTGTAGTGAGTTACCCGTTGGACTGCTAACTCCAAGGTCAGCAGTTAGAATTCACCAATGGCTCCATAGAAACAAGAGAGTGAGCGCTTTCTGCTCTGATAAAGATTAGCAACCTCAGAAACCCTATACAGGGTCGCTATGAGTCAGAACTGACTCGATGGCCTACAACTACCACCATACCTAACTGTCCAGATTGCCATGAACTTCAAACAAGATCGTATGTGTAAAATGCATACAGATAATTTGTAAAATCCAGCATGGCGCTTGAGGAAAGAATTCATGGATTAATAGCTCGAAGGAAACAAAATAAACCTAGGCAAATAATTGCCCTATCCTGTGTTTCAGATTACAGATACAAAAAAGATGAGCTTTTCAAGAGACTCAAAGTTACAACTTTCGCCCAGCTGGTAAGTTTACTGAGCTTCCCCGCCCCCTCCGGGAGTAGAGAATGTCTAATTTATACTCCTTTATGTGAGTCTTTCTAAATTCCACTCTGGGGAATATTTGCACAGGGGTTTCTCCTGATTCTTGGGTGACATTCCTGGGGGTGTGTGTGTGTGTTCACACAAGGGAGGAAAGAGTACCTTCTAGTCTTGATCCATCACATTTATGGTGTAGGTTCTGGTTTTTCTTGGCTTGTTAATTTGATATTTAGAATCTAGAAGTCTGGGTCTGCATCGTTTGGACATTTTTTTTTCCCCCCTCAGTGGAAATCAAGCTCCCTTTTCTTTTATGAATGTGCTTCTTTCCAAGCTACCCTACCACGGGCTGTTTTGTTACTTTGGGCAAGTTACTTTCTTCCTTCAATGAAGTTATGAACAAGGTCTGGCCCCTCAACAAGAAGCGCATTGGTGTAACTCAATTTGGATCCTGGGCCTTATGAGCCAGATGATAAAAAGTGCTTTAATTATGGCAATGACAAAGAATATCGAATATACCATGGACTTGCCAGAAGAATGAAACAGTCCATCTTGGAAGAAATACAGCCAGAATGCTCCTTAGAAGCCAGAAGGATGAGATTTCATCTTACAAACTTTGGCTGTGTTGTCCGGAGGGATCAATCCCTGGAGAATGACATCATGCTTGGTAAGGTAGAGGGTCAGTGAAAAAGAGAAAACCCCCCAATAAGATGGCTTGACGCAGTGGTTGCAACGGTGAACTCAGACACAGCAACTGTGGTGAGGACTGTTAAGGAATCAGATGGCCCCAAACAACAATGCTGTCCTCAATAGGTTCCTAGTCAGACATGTTTCTTTACTTCATGAGAATTCCTGGTGCCATCCTATGTTGTCATTGCACTCTCAAGAAATAACATGTTATTTATGTATGGACCAGAACACATACAAATCTAGTTTTTAAACTCTTATCCCTACTTCTTTTCCTAAATTGCCCATTTGGACTTTTAAGCTAATTGTGCAATGTTTTACATTAATCTTTTCTTCTGCAGTGATGATCTGCAGTATGGTTACTGCCCCACAGAATGAGGGGACCGGCGATCCTGTCTCTGGTTGTAGACACTGGCAGCGCTTTCAAATAAGAGATCTTTGGTGTTTCTTCGTCTTTTCAAACAACAGGATTGCCTCTGTTTACAAAAAGACACACATGGACGCATTTTGCTCTCTTTTTCTGCCAGGCCATTCAAGTTGCTTCCCTGTCTGACCAAACACTGGAAGTAACAGCTGAGGAGATCCAAAGGCTAGAAGGTAATAGAGTGATTATTGAGGGTGTGGGAAAGTAACCGGGCAACCATTTGACTGTAGAACTCACCAGGACATTTGTTCTGTTGGCCAGGCTGTGGGACTTTGATGCGCCTACATGTAATTAAGTTGTTCCTCTCAGAGAAATGCTCACTGGGGCTTTAATTCTTCTTTCTTATTCTCTAGAAATGTCACCTGGGATGGAGGAGGGGAGGGAGTGGGATTCCTGGCTATAGCATTTGTAGTTTTGAATGTTTTAGATGTGTTTAATCTACTAGTTACTTCCACACATAGCCTTCTATCTTTATACAAAGGGCCCTGGTGGTGCAGCGGTTAAGCACCGCAGCAGCTACCCCAGAGGCCAGCAGGTTGAACTCATCAATGGCTCTCTCCAGAGACAGATGTGACAGTCTGCTTCCTGTCGGGTCACTATGAGTCAGAATCCACGCAGTGACAACCGGTTGGGTTTAGGGTTTGGGGCATGTATATAGAGGAGCCCTGGTGGCACAACAATTAAGCACCCTGCTAGCACCGGAAGGTTGGCGGTTCAAACCCACCAGGGACTCTGCAGGAGAAAGACCAGGCGATCAGCTTTCCGGAAGCTGGCAGCTTAGGAAGCCCTCTGGGGCAGCCGTACTCTGTCCCATGGGGTTGCTAAGAGTTGTAATTAAGTTGAAAACATACAACCACCTGCATCTACAGCTCGCAGTGTTTCGGGCCATGAGACTGCGAAGATGAGCACAACACATAGCTCTCTTCTTGTGGAATTCATACACGTGTGTGAGAGCCCTTTTTTGTGTTAGATGGGGAGAACAACGGCAGAATTCAGTCAGGGAAGTATGGAAGGAAGCTAACTATATCGCTGGGTACTTCACATTGATTTTCTTATTTAATGTTGTCACAAAACACTAGACAGAAGGCGGTTCGGCTCTGCACTTTACAGAGGAGAAACCCCCACCTCAGGGAATCATCACTTGGTAAAGGAGGTAGAGCTGAAGGGCTGGGCCTGGCCGCCAGCTGAAAGCAGTTCTAGTGACAAAATCCACCGTCTTCCACTGCCTGTTTTACATCCCTCAGCGATTCTGGAATGTGGCCTGAGAAGGATTCAGGGAGCCATGGAGCTCAGACGAAGGAAAGGAACATCCCGGTTAGAGTGCCAAGAAAAGCTTTGCCCTAGAGGAGAATGCTTTTGAGCTGGGCATTGGAGGGAGGGTGGAATCTCAGCAGGTGCAAGTGAAAGGTGGGGGATAAAGGTGCAGAATAGGGGAAATGAGGCCAAACCCTCAGGGAACCGAGTAATCCATCCTGGGTCTCTTGGCCTGAGGGAGGAGTAGGTATTGGGTAGGAGACAAGACTAGAAAGATAGGTAGGGTCCAGCTTTCCTGTCTTAAATACCGTGTGGAAAATAAAGCCCTTTAGTTGTACTCGCCTGAAAAGAAGACACAGAATTATGGTCCCTGAAGTGCGCAGTGATCAATGCAGGGCTGTTTACTGACGGGGAATGTGTTTTGTCCAGGTTGATGTAGGCCAGGAATTTGTCTTCTGATTTCAAGACAAGTTTGCTCAGGAAGTCTGAACACTGGGGTTTGCACAACTCTCCTGTCATTTCCCTGGGCTTGCTTTTGTTCAGGAGGATAAAGAGACTCTGAAAAAAGGACGGGAATTTCTCTCTGACAGCTGCCTCTCACACAGAAGGGCTCCTTTGTAACGGAGATCATTGCATCTCCCCGTGCAAGCCCTCCCAGTTTGAACCTGGTTCCGTAAGCACCTGTGTTGGGTCCTCTAATTCCTTGTTGCCATTGCAACATCAGAACATATGGGCACATGCTCGTTTCTGAGAGCAAAATGGGCTCTTCACAAGTAGGGCACCGTAACGTGTGAGTAATATTAGTGTCTTCTAGTACCCCATACAGAATCCTAAGACACTCACAAAGGCTGGGAAGACAGATTGGCTCTGTGTACAGACTGGTTTATTTTTCAAAGAATCAAGCATCTTTTTTTTCCCTAGTGTTTGTAGGTTTTGTTCCTGATTCAAAAGTGTATGTATGTTGGTGAATTGGCTTAGGTCTTATTTTGTTTGTTTTCACCACACACCAAAAAGAGTTCTTTAAAAGTATATTTAGAGAAAATTAGCAAAATGCAAAAAGTATAGAGCTAGAAAGAAGAAAATTGAAATGGCTGATAATCTGTTAGCATTTGGTCCATTTTTCCCTCCTCGATCTCACTCCAGTTGGCTTCCTGCCTTGACTTATATTTCCTGCCTCTTCCTTGTTAGCATTTACCATTGCTTCTTTCCCCTGTCATTAAATAGTCCTCAAAAGCATGTTTATAAAGGCTACGCTGTCATGTGATGTCTGTCCTTTGGATATACATTAATTTAGTTCATGATTCGCCTATTGTTGGGCATGGTAGGTTTTCCACTCACCCTCATTTTTTGCTTTTATCAAATAACGCTGCCGTGTCTGTATGTCAGTTGTTGCTTGATTAAGATTAGTCCCTGAAGATACATTGCTGCAGACAGGCCACAAGTGTAACTGTTTAAAGACCCGGCATGCTCCTTCCCTGTCTCCTTACCCTCCACAGTGGCTGTACTTGTACCTGATTACACTTCACCAAAAGCGTGTGAGGACTCCAGCATCTCCCTCTTTCAGCCAATGTTGGACAGTAGTCATTTTTTGTAAAATTTTGAGAATTTGATAAATGAAAAAATGATACCCACTCATTTTTATTAGAATTTCTTTGATTGTGAGGTTGAGGCTGGTGTTGTGTGTGTGTATTTATGACTTCTTTTGAGGACTTACTGTGTCCTTTCCCTTTTTTTTTTTACATATATACAATAGGATGTTTCTTTCATTCGCAGTGAATTTGTGAAAAGTTCTTTGTGGCACATTTGTATATAATGGAAACGAATACAGTTTTGAAAATGAATGAGATCCATCTTTACTTGCTAATTTGGAACAATTTCTAAGCTACATTCATTCTTAAGTAAAAAGGAAAAAACAAACAAAAAAAAAACAAGTATAGAGCAGTGTGAATGGCATAGTCTGTCTATGTAAAAAAGGAAGGAAGGAAAATGCACGCAGAAATATGGAGTTTTGTTTCAGTAAAGAGATATCAGTGTGGGAACTTGCTTTCCTTGGTGGAGTAGACTTGAGGGCCTGAGGATATGGAGTGGGAAGATTTCCTTGTCGTATTAGCTATTTTATCCATTTGCATTTTTACCTTGTACACATGAACTTTCTAAATTAAAGAGCTAATTCATTAAAAAAAAAAATACTCCTTGTAAATGAGTAAATTAACCTTTTCTCATCTATGTATACTACAGATAGTGTTACTGGTTTGTTAGTCACCTTTTAATTTTCTTTCTGTTGGCTTGCTATATATATATATATTAATTGTCATTCAACTAACTGTATTTTCTGCTGTTGGTTTGTTTTACTGATTTATTTTTTCTATATTTGATCTATCTGTAATGTGTAATTTGGTGTGTAATGTGAGACAATTATCAAAATTAGTTTTTTCTAGATAATCAAATTTCCCAGCACCATTTGTTAAATAGTTTTCCCTTTACCTACTGGTCTGTGATATCATGTTTAAAATATATAATATATATTCTAGGATTTTTTTTTTTCATCTTTGAAGCCGAGTCACACGCTTTATGTAATTTAAACAAAGCAAAAGTGGAGCTCACCAAAGTCACTCTAGACTAGGATATTTTTTTTTTTCATCTTCTCTATTGTATTGTTCTATACCATTTTCTTTTTCAATATATGTTGCCCTCTGGTAAAGCAAGTACACACACACATACATATATATAATTTTCTCTCATCTCATCTATAAAATTCCTTTAAATTGTTGTTGTTTTTAATTCCATTGGGATTAAAAATTACATCTAGAAAGTATTAACACTTTAATAAGGTCTCCCTCTTAACCCAGGTAATCTTTAATGTGCCTAGGTCAAGTTTGTATAAGTCATTTATAAGTTTTTATAGGCCCTTTACGTTTCTCAATAGATTTGTTTCTAGGAGAGCCTATTTTATATCTGCAGCTGATGCTGTGAGATTTGCTTCATTCTTTTCTAATTAAGGAACCCTGATGGTGCTGTGGGTTAGATGTTGAGCTGCCGACTGCAAGGTCTCCTTGGGAGAAAGATAAGACTGCCTGTTCCCATAAATATTTGGGGGATTTTCTAAATGGCATGTTAGTGTTTATTTTTTGTCTAACAGTGTGTTTTCCATATCCTAGTAGTACTCTCATAAGGTTTCTAGGTATATTGCGATATCATCTGCAAATTAAAAATGAATGTCCTCTTTAATAGTTTGAAATCAGACTCGTTGCCATCCAGTCACTTCTGACTCACAGCAACCCTAAAAAAGGACACAATACAACAGGCATTTGGTTGCTAACTGCACATCAGTACCTCAGACCCACTAGCTGCTCTGGAGGACAGATGAGGCTGATTGTGCTCTTAAAGATGTATAGTCTCAGAGTCGGAAAGGGCTCAAGCGTAGCAACAGTTGTGAGGTTGACACAAGACTGGGCAGTGTTTCGTTCTGTTGGTCATAGGAGTCGGTGCCAACTCGACGGCATGTAACAACAGCATGAGTCTGAGTTGCTCAGTGGCCGTGGATTTAGGTGTGGCATAGGTTTCCAGGACTAACCTTGATGAAAGCAGGCTACCATATCTTTCTGCTTCAAAGCAGCTCGTGGGTTCAAACCTCTGACCTTTCAATTCTCAGTCAAGCACTTTAACCACTGTGCCACCCAGGCTCCTGTCTTAATAGTCAGGCCTCCTCTTTTTGTTTCTTCTTTCGTTATGTTGATCAGAAGGATCATCAAATTCTCAAAACCTTTTGGTCGTAGGATCCGTCCACACTCAAAAATTGAGGATCCCAAAGAGCTTTGGTTTATGTGGCTTATCTCTCTTATTTGCTGTATTAAAATTTTGAACTGAGAACTTAAAAATATTTATTTACTATTTCATCTAAAAAGAACACTATTATTCCATCTATTACAAGCATAAATATTTTTATGAAAAATAACTATTTTCCAAAGCAACAAAATATTAACTGTGAAAATGACATTTTTTTACTTTTTTTTTCTGGACAAGCCTCTTTCATGCCTGTCTTATTAGAAGACAGCTGGATTCCTGTTTGCTTCTGTATTTAATCTGTTGCAATATGCTGTTTTGGTTGAAGTAGATGAAGAAAATCTGGCCTCACACAGACTTGTAGTTAGAAAAGGGTGGAATGTTTTAATAGCTGTTTCAGATAGTTGTGGCTATTTTTCTTTGATAGCACACCCAAACTCAGCTGGTAGTTTCTTAAAAGCTAGTTGCCATATGGAATCTGAAATCACCTCAATGGAACTTCCCATGCTTGGCTGGTTACATTAAAATCCATTGGTCTGTCTTGGACGTTGATTGGATCTTTTATTCTTGTGTGATTTTGTAACATCATGCGTTTGGAAAATGACAATTCACTGAGTTATGTAGATCTTTCAAATGGTGCTACATTTCATTATCCAATAGAAATCACAAATCACACCATTAATTTCACCATCTCGCTCCTTAGAAAAGTCTTTGAATATTGGGAAGTGGTCCAGCTCCTGATGGAACATCAACTTCCAAATTTCTGATGCTAGCTAGAAATTTTATCACTGACAGCAAATACTATCATGTTTTCCTCTAAACCACAGGCTCATTCCATTCCTTTTTGAAAACATGCCTGCTAAATACCCAAGTCTAAATGATCAGAGTTTTCCTATACATTTTTCTTCCAAGTAAATGTGATGTTCACAAAAGAAATGGTCAGTCCAGCTCGTACTCACAACCACACTGGTACTTTGCCTTGAGACAGCCATGGTACATTGCATTGGTCTCTAGCAGAGACGTCCTGTGTACCTCCCACTCCATAACCAGTATACTAAAATGGTGTGTACTTCAGGATGAGATTCATTTTAATTGCTTCAGGAAGGACACTGCTTAGTGAGACTGGCATTCTTGTTTGCTGTGAGTGGGTGCGTGTTGGGAAAGAATGCAGTGAATACTAACGCAGTCTGATGCCACTGAGCTGATTCTCGCTAAGGCTATAGAAGTTTTACCCACCATTTCTTTTTCACCATTAGTGGAGATATCAACAAAGTAAAAAAGAAAATTCAATAACTTAGTGTTACTAAAAAAATAAATTCTACCTGAAAGGGTCTGAGGGGATTCCCAGGGTTCACAAACTACTCTTCGAAAATACCTAGAACAATTTCCAATGGTGATAGAATTTTCTTGTCTTGGCCTACTTTCAATGGAATTTCCTAACAACCCAAACCAAGTAGTTTCTGTTGGTTCCGGCTCCTGGTGACGCCATGTGTGCAGAGTAGAACTGCGCTCCGTGTGGGTTCAGAGCTGTGACTCTTTGGAAGCAGGTCACCAGGCACAGACACCTCTGTGTGGGCTTGAGCCATCAACTTCTCAGTCAATATTTGAGTGTATAACTTTTTGTATCACCCAAAGGCTCCTGGAAAAATGCCTAATAAGTGAATAGAAGTCCAGAGGTTAAATTTGATGATTTATTCTTTGGCACATTTCAGACAATGATTCTGGGACGTCAGACCCGGATGTGGAAAACACCGCCAAGACCAATGGGAAAGGGAGCCCCAGTGAACAGTCCTGTAGTCCCATCCAGTTCATAAACAACACCGGAGCTGGGGACTCCAGCCGCTCTACACTGCAGAGGTACTCTGACTGGATTTGTGTTCTCACTGCATTTTGTTGTTGCTAAGTGCTGTCAAGTGAGTCAAGTTGGTCCTGACTCAAAACAACCCCGTATAGGATTTCCAAGGAGCAGCTGGTGAGTTCGAACCACCGACCTTGTGATTCAAGCGAACCTCATGGTTCAGTGCTTTATCCCACAGCGCCAAACCAGGACTTCGTTTTACCTCTGTGTTAATCCCAGGCACAATTCCAGTGATTCTGTTTCCTCTGGAACAGAACCAGCAGAAGCAAAATCCCCATTTAATAATCCCAGCTTTTCTACGTTCTCTGTATATGAATGCCGCCCCCTGAGTTCTTGCATGGTCTTCTTCGTAGCTAATATAAGATAGTAATTGTTGTTGTTGTGAAGTGCCGTCGAGTTGGTTCCAACCCATAGCTACCCTGTATAGTGTTTCCAAGGAGACACTGGTGAGCTTGAACCACCAACATTGCAGTTCAAACAGCTTTGCAGTCTAGCGCCTTACCCCACAGCGCCACCCCCAATCTTTACTTCTACTTTTCTTGGCCTTCCTAAGTACAAGTCTACTAGGGCTTTGCTTTACAACTACTGTCTTTTGATTCAAAGAGATCCCCCGCTTTCCGTCTGGAGCAGGGAGCTGAGATTGAACAGTGGGAGCAAAGGAGAGTGAAAGCAGCAGCTGTCTCAGCCATTGCAGTTGATGGTTAAGACTGCAGCAGGCTGGCTGTTCCTGTTTGTTCCATGAGCTAAGATGCAGCATTTTCTCACCGATAGTAACTATGGCTTTTGAAAGACAATGCTAATTTTTCAGCACACACCCACGCCTCCTACTGAGAAAACACAAACCAGCTTCTATTAGAGGAAGACTAAAGAATTGCACAAGGTCAGCAGTTCAAACTCACCACTTGCACCTTGGGAACCCTATACTGGGTCGCTATGAGTCAGAACCAACTTGACAGCACTTAACAACAGCAACAAGAAACCCATAGGAAGACTTCCTCTAGGAGAAAAGAATTCTTTCTAGTAGAAAAATAGTAACAAATATGTCGCTGCTATGATTTTTATAGCCACCTTTGTGAAAGAACATTAAAATTGCATTCAAAACCAGATAACCCTCCCTCCATTGAGGACCTAGTTCCATTTCCAAGGAGTTTTCTTCTCCCTTGCTTCAACAAAATGTGCATTGCTAGAAATGCAGTTATTGTGTTTATTGTATTTAAATGCAGAATTTAATTTGCCACGATGAGAAAAGGAACTGTACTATGTATTCATCTGTGGCTGGACACATATGTGTCTCAATATCTGGAAGAGAGGAAACATCACATTCGCATTCGGATACCTCACTGTTGGCCAATTAGTTCATGCCACCGACTTGTCGTCTTCTTTCTTTCTTTTAAGTGTCTCCCACATTTGTGTAGCGTTTTAATGTGGTGACCAGTTGTAGTGATTTAATGACCTGAGAAACAACTTGAAGAATTGTGAAGTCCCACATTTTAATTCCTGCTCTTCCCTAAGTGCCACCAAATCTGGAAGCTTCTCCAGTCTCGACATTTTAACCTGGAAAATGGAAACAATTGTAGATCAATTTGGGAAACATTAAGGTTCAGTATCCATGCTGGATTGTTGTTGTTGTTAAGTGCTGTTGAGTGGGTTCTGACTCATAGCGATTCTATATAGGGTTTCTGAGGAGCAGCTGGTGGATTTGAACAGCTGACCTGGTGGTTGGAGGTCCAGTGCTGATCCTACAGTGCTACACTGAGTCTAGACCATCGTATTGTTGTTGTTGTTAAGTGCTGTCAAGTCGGTTCTGACCCATATTGACTCTGTATAGAGTTTCCGAGGAGTGGCTGGTAGGCTTGACCCCTGACCTTGTGATTCACACAAACTGTACAGTCAGTGCGTTAACCCACAGCACCACACCAGGACTTCAGGCCATTGTAGAGTTATATGAAATGCACTGAAATATTACTGCTCCTTTATATTATCTATAATAACAGCAAACAATAGCAAGAACACATAGCACACAGAGATGCTTGTTTTGGTCTTACCGACTTTATTAAGACTCCTTGGTGGCACAGTGATTAATTGCACCATTGCTAACTGAAAAGTCAGCGATTTGCTTCCATAAAGATGGCAGCCTCAGAAACCACATGGGGCAATGCTCCTCAACCTTCTTCTTCCTCCTTTCCTTCTGTTTTCTCACACCCCTCAAGACTTTGTCGGAAACACAACACCCCTGTCTCTTTCTCTGAATGCTGCCCTTGTTGCTGGGGGCAGCATGTGCCCCACACTCTGCCACAGTGGGTTCCCCTCCAGGGTCCAGTAGGATAGAACCGGAATCAGGCAGGAGCAAGACATCGAGCATTCATCACACCATTTGGAGGGAAGGCATTTGAGCTTGAAGCCAACCCTTGACTCACTTCTGCTGACCTACTTTTTCATTCACAGCGTCATCAGCGGTGTCGGGGAGCTGGATCTGGACAAAGGGATAGTGAGGAAAGCAGAGCCCAACACCAAAGACAAACCTTATCCTGACTGCCCCTTCCTGCTGCTCGATGTGCGAGACAGAGACTCTTACCAGCAGTGCCACATTGTTGGAGGTAAGAGAGAAGGCCCGATAGCATCTTGCTCCCAGGAGCAGAGCCTCCTCTCAAGTGGAGGCAGGCGACAAACACACCACGGCCAGCACTTCAGCTGGACCCATCATGGGGGCTGGACCGTCATGCTCTGAGGGAGGTCCTTGGAGGGCTCGGGGACCCCCTGCCAAAAATGAGATCAGTAGCATGAAGCTTACAGTTTTGTTCATAGCATCCTTTTCTTCCAGAAAAGTAATTTGATTTATGCCTTAATGTTTGTGAAAATGTGTTCGTTTAACTCTTATTTCTATCTTTTAACTCCTAGTTGCTGCTTAAATTAGCTGGGGGTTGGGGTCAGGTTTTACTAAGGGAGCCACAGACTTCCTTAACTGTTTCTTCTTTCTTCCAGCTCACAGTTACCCAATTGCAACTCTTTCTAGAACAATGAACCCCTACTCAAATGATATTCTTGAATATGTATCCTTTGTTGCATCCTAGGAATGGGGTGGTCTGAGGATTCTAAGAACTAACCTTAACTGTGAAGGATACTCCTGGTAAGGAAACCCTGGGTAGTAGGACCTTGAGTATTCATCAGCTTTACATATTTTCGTTTTTGAATCCTTGGCTATTGCTGAAAATCCCGACTCCAATAAGGCAGACACTCGCAAACCAATACTACATTGGGCAAAAGGACATTACGGTAAAGGTTGTGGTCTGTTGAGAGTCCTAAGACTTTTTTCCTAGAAAGCTTTCCCAAGTAAGAGTTTAAGAAATAAATCTTTTTTCCTTTTATTTAAAATGTTTTCTTAAAATTGCCTCCCCTTTTTTTTTCTGCTCGTAAAAATGATACAAATAGAAAAATCATTTGAATACTAAATAATATTGAAAAGAAATTTGGAATCACTTCCACAATTGAACGACAACCCCCATTACAGTTTCTGTGTTTTCTTCCTGACTGCCTCCAGCTGTGTTTTCTTAACAATATTGGTATTGTAAATACTGCATATAATCTAGTATCTTGTCTCCTCCCCACACACCCCCGCCCCCGACTTCATACTATAGTGTATCTTTCCATGCTAAACTTTGTAAACTCCATTTTTAAAGCTGTATTATATCTGATTTTCAGATATACTACAATTTGCCCTAGTAGCATAGTGGTTATGAATCAGGCTCCTAACCTCAACGTCAACAGTTCGAAACTACCAGCCATTCTGCAGGAGAAAATGAGGCTTTCTGTGCCCATAAAGGTTTACAGCCTCAGAAACCCTATACAGGGCACAGACTCCATGGCACACCACCACCACCACAATTTGCTAAACCTCTATATTGGACTTTTGAAGTTGTTTCCTTGTGGTTTCTTTGTTGTTGTTTTAAACTATTATAAATAAAGCTGCAGTGGACACATTGGACCCTGGAGATTTCCCATCTCCTCATCTGCAAAAGGGGGAAAGTACAATAGTACTTTCCAAGATTAAAGGATAAAAGAGCTGAGGGTATAAATTAACTTAGCTAGTGCTGTCTTGGATCATAGTTAACAGGAGTTTAGAAAAGGAAAGCGGATCAGTTTGCGTGGTTTCTAAGGCAGCAGTAGCTGCTGGTCTGACCTGAGGTGCGGCTGTGTCCTTGCACGTTCTCCGACCTCAGCCTTTGTTCCTCAGGGGTTTCGTTAGCCTAGGAACACTCATTCAGTGCTGTCGAACCTTAATGTCTGTGACTCGTAGAAAAACGCCCACGGCAAGATCATCATCCTGTATGACGATGACGAGAGGCTGGCCAGCCAGGCGGCCACCACCATGTGTGAGCGCGGCTTCGAGAACCTCTTCATGCTCTCTGGAGGTGAGCCAGGCCCGAGGCTTCTTGGGATGGACACACAGACATTTGCATTCCCAGCCCATCAACCCTAACCCCTGTTTCCTTTCGGTGCTCAGAATTTAGCGTTCTGGAAAGAGAGAGAAACCATGTGGGCTGAATGATTCAGGAGTCAGGCAAGCGATCCATTCGCTCCGACAGCACATTGTATAATTCCTGAAATAAGGACTTTGCACTGTGGCTTTCTAAAGGATGATTTAGCGTGAACTACTTGAGCAAAAGAATTTTGTGGCATTCTCAGAACACACGTAACAACTGACATTTTCTGGTGCAGATTGCTTCCTGGTGAAGCAGTTGTAAAATTGTCAGACCCCTATAATGTGGGCCTCTGTTTGGTGACCCGAGATTAGAAGACATGCAGGATTAGGGCCACCGTACCATGTTAATGCTGCCTTTTCTGATGATTTCCACTTAGGTCTCAAAGTCTTAGCTCAGAAATTTCCGGAAGGACTGATCACTGGTTCCCTGCCAGCTTCCTGTCAACAGGCCCTCCCACCTGGTTCTGCCCGAAAAAGGTCCAGCCCCAAAGTGCCACCCCTACCTGCTGAGAATAAGTGGAGATTTACCCCAGAAGATTTAAAAAAGATAGAATATTACCTGCAAGAGGAGCAAGGTCCTGCTGAAAATCCTGGTAAGCTATTTTGGCCTTCAGAGATCATGTTTTCTGTGGAGCCTGAGGGTTTCAGCTCTGAATACCACCTCATCACAGCACACGAAAAGCTTGGTCTCATATAGTGTATTCAGATTCTTAGGGCATGTGTGCATGCATGCAGTGCAGGTACTGTTGGGGTGGAGGTGATTCCAAACAGTGACTTGGATTAAGCGTGTTGAGCACAGCCTTAGAAAGAGAAGAAGGTTTAGCAGTCAAATAAAATTGTACAAGGGGCCCTCAAAAAGCTCGTGAAAAAATTCCATTATTTTTTTAATTCCATTTTTTTCCTCCATGAACGCTTGAAGCCCCACAGTTGAGAAGTTAAGCATAAGGAACCCCAGTTCCTTCTTAAAAAGTCTGCTCTCTTCTGCTTTGTCTGACACATTAAGCCCTGTGGAAGCACCCCCTGTGGTGGTCTTTCAGCTTGTCCCCAAGATGTTCTCTGCTTGTTCCCCTGATTGCCTCTCATTTTTCTCCTGTCTACCTGGGAAGCGAGGAAGGACTGACCAGGTTGGTTGCAGTTAACAAAGCGACAAAAATAATCCATCCGGTTTCATTCTATCCCTGCCCCTCCCCACCTTCAGGTTGGTTTCAAGGAGAAGGAGAAGGTCATCATTAGCAGAAAGTAGATGCTGAATAGGATTTCATTAGCCTAAAAGTGGCCGTAGAACAAAACTTCATTAGCTTAAAAGTGTACTTGGCAGATTGTTCCTGGAACATTTGTTCCTACAGCTCTGCCCCCCTGTTTTCTCGCTCCCTCAGGCCGGCTGAGCCAAGCAAACTCTTCTGGAAGAGACTCCAAGGGTGGAAGAGACTCCAAGGTTCCTGCTGGCACCCCGAACCCCCGCTTGCTCGGCATTGGCCCCCCACAAAGCAAGCCCTGGAAGTAAAGACTCTATCTCTCTTAGTCAAATAAATGTTTCCCTCCTTTTGGAACCTCTGGGCACTCCCCAATTTGGTCATTTTGAGAAACTGCTCAGAGGAAAGACCAGGAAGGAGCTGTGTGCTAGACCCTCTGGCTCTTCCCACCTCCACCTCCTCACGCCCATATGGGGAGGATCTGAACTGGGCACCATCAGTCCCAGCAGCCTGGCAGGCTCCAGCACCCTCCCTACTGTTGACAGAATAGTAACGTCTTTGAAACTAAGTAGGGAAAAACACAAAGGTCTCCTTTTTCAGGCTTTGCTTTGGTTTAATAAGGCCCAGCATGTCTGGTCTGTACGATGTCGTTTTTGTAAATACGTCAGTCACCTTCGCTGGTGTGTTCTTCCCAACCCTCCCCTTTTCTCTCACTGTTCTGGTTTGGACAAAGGGTTCTCCAAGCAGGCTTTCATAGGCAGTCTCTGAAGGGGTCTCCGCAGTCCGTGGGCCCCACGCCAAGGCTGAGGCTTGCTCAGGACTTGTGTTCGCAGCACACACTCAAGGCTCTCTGGGAGATAGCATGTTTTGTAGAGTTAACCACACACTTCCTGCTCCTTCCTCCTCACTGGATGTCTTCCTGGAGCCAGCCAAGGTGAGGGTGTGCTAGCTTCCCTTACACAGGGGAGCAGGCCTGTGGAACCACTGGGCATCTGTCACTGAGCCGGCTCAGGCTCAGCCCTGTTCGCTGTGGCCACTTGAGAACATCAGCTTCGCTGGGGCGATGGTGGGGTTCTTAGATGAGGAGTTCTCCGCAGTTCTTTGTCAGAGCTAACAACCCTTGAAGCCCTTGCTTTAAAATACAGTATTAGTCTAATTGAGTAATTAGTGCAATTTTCTGCTTACTTTTCATTCTCATGACTGAGCTGTGATTAGGCGGTTGTGATTATAAATTCTGGTTTGGGCCGGAATTTTGAATCAGCATTAATTGAATTGCTGGATGACTGACGCTCATTCCATTTAATTGGGGGAACAAAAGACCGCAGGTAAGGATGAGGAACTCAAAAATCATAAGGAAAAGAGCCTTGTTAATTTTTATGGTCTGTGATCTGTAGCTGCAATAAGGGACGAAGGAATAAATTGTGCTCCTCTTTGTCATGGCAACCAGCTTCTGAAAAGCCACCTGAAAATTGCTTGTCCTTAGGTGGTTACTGCTGCTGGGTGAGATTTGCCTTAATGGTACTATTTTCTCGCCACTGGGGGGGTTGGGGGTGGGGGGGAGAAGAACGCACCACAGTATTTCTAGCATGGGGGGGAGGGGAGGTGGGGGCAGAAGAAGGCTGTGTTCGTTCGAGAAATAGAGGCAATAAATATCTCATGGAGACATATGGAAAAATAACGTTCAGAGGAGCCCAGTTCTGTTTTTAGGGTGTGTTTATTCTCTACTTGATTTCCAAAGTGCAACATTTTCCGATGCTTTAGAAATCACACAAACCAGGGACATTGTTCAGATGTCAAGCCGTGCCCAATTTTCCACAAGATTCAAGAATCTTGTATAAAATCTAGCCAACGTACACACAGCTTTAATGAGGCGCCTGCCATGTTTCCCCATGAATTTATTGCCTGAGAACTTAGTTCAGCCTTTCACTAATGCCAAAACATTCTGGCTTTTTGTTTTCTTTACAACATAGATAGAAAAATGCAAATGTTTCCACCCTCAGCTTTCCCTTAACATAGACATGATTCTCAGTTGTTTCTTGGACACATGTACATTTTTCAGAAAAATGTATTTTACTCTGTAACAAACTTCTGGTTCTGCTCTTTAAACGTGGACTGGTCAGGAGTTTAGACATCCTCACCTAGTTCTAGTTTGAAAGTAAATGGTAATTTCTCTCTGGTACTTCTGCTGTGTTCCCATCTCCAAACAGCTCTAGAATATTCTACACTAAAGTATAGAAGTGGACAGTCTGCTTAAACTAACGTTACTCGCATTGTTACACAGTCCCGTGAGACAGTGGGCAGCTTGGAGGTATTAATGTGTATTTCTCATTAGTACTTTGCCCTGTTGGTAAGAAGCCTAAAGAACCACTCTGTAGAAGAAGTGTTCTGTCTCTGCCATTTGTGTGTTAAATGTTGTTAGCAGGTACTTTTTTTTTTTTTACCTGCTCGGGTGTTGCTTTGCATTCTCTACTGTACTAGTTTCTTCATTTGATTCATTGACATATATTATTTAAATGATCAGTGATACTTTGTGCAATTATGAACGTTGAAGATTAAAGTACCTAGTAATCTGTGTGTTATTTGCTGTTAATATGCTGAACTCTGCCCACTTCTTTCTGTTGAGATGATGGGGTGGTTGCCGGGGTGGGGATATGATCAGAAAAAGCCACCTGTGTTAGCTACACCCCCTAGAAAAGGATCTGATCTTTCTGTAAGTGGATCAGGAAGGAATCCTGTTGGGGAAAGAGGCCTCCAGTCTGAAGGTCTGGGTCTCTCTCCTGTGGTCAGGCAGGGACCAGTTGCTACCTTACCCAGATTGTAAATGGCTCTCTCAGTGTTTCGGGGTTGACGAGTAGCCCCCTGCATGAGCATTTGTGACCCCCCAGGATGGGAGGGGTTTTATTGGTGCACAACTCCAGTTCAACCAGCTCACCAATGGTGGTCACAATTATAGCTAATGAGTTAAGTGTTTCAGAGGGGCCTGCATCAAAGGGAGGAGGATGGGGGGAAGGGAGAGAAAGAGACAAAAGAGACGGAAGGGGAAGGAGGAAAAAGGTCTATTACTCATTCAGTAACAAAAAGAACATTCTGGGCTGTAATAATGCCAGATGTGGTCTATTGAAAAGTATAAAATGATTCAAATAGCCTGACAGTGATTTTACTTTTTACCTTTAGTGAAAAAGAAAAAGAGAAAAGTCACAGAACCAGCACAATTGTATTGGACTTGGTATAAATCAGAGTTAAAAGAGGACAAATTAATGCTCAGGGATTTTTCCCCATGGTGCTATTTAGACGATACAAAAATTCTCCAGACGTGGGGTTATTCGCTAAGCAAACAGAACAGAACAGAAGTCTTCCTTCCTTTAGTTCCCTTGTGGGCTATACATGGAATCAGAGTCCTGGCCTGGAAAGAAATGCAGGGTCCGTTTTCTCTGGTTAGTTTTGGTTTCCATATGTTGTATACCGGTTATAGATTTTTTTTCAATGGTCTGACTTTTATGGGGGCGTGGAATAACAGATTTCTGTCTACTTGACCTGAAATTCATGACCCACTTCTGGCCTCACACTGGAGATTGTCATTAAGAAACTTTCTTTTCCCAACTTCCAGAACGTTCCCCATGTCTTTAATGTGTGTTTATTTTTTTCACAGTTCTTTCAAAGATGTAACTACCATGATGCATTTTTCCCCCCAAGAAACATCAGAAACATGGAGTATAATTCATCAGTTTAATTACCTGAGCATGTCAAGTGCATATATGCCATTCAATTAATTTTTTAATGAGCAAATTTGCTTTTCATACAAAAGCAATAAATAAGACATGCTGTGCTTCCTGAGTGTTTAGAGTACATTTGAGTTGTAAGACTTGCCTCGAATCATAGTGATGATTATCACAGTGCCCTCAAAGTAGCGCACAGGTTCGTGGATGCATTAAATAGGTAACGCAGGAGATTTGTCAGCCTGGAATTCTGAAAGAACAAGATTCAGTGTACGATGTGTGTGCTTACAAAATCGTACTTGTCACCCAGCAATCCACTGATGGTCTCACCCTCCCATGCTGATCCTCTTTGTTCTAAATCCAGAAGCAAATTCTCTTCACCTGTGGCGTACCCTGCCAGGCACCTGGTAAAATATACGGCCAAGAGAAGCTAGGAATGACATGCTGTTGGCTGGTAGGCTGCATTTCTTCCAGGATGTAAATACATCTCCTATTTGGAATCATTTTGACTATAAGCTCCCAGGGTCTGAAAATCCCTGGCCCTGTCACAGTGGACTTTGGTAAGTGTTTCTGAGAAAATTAGTTGAACCTGGAACTCATTTACTCATTCCCCATTGTGAGCACCACTCCACATTGGGCCAGCCTCTCTAGGGACCAGGAAAGTTTGTCATCTTTTGTCCCCTGTTTCTGTAGGGATTGCCTTCACAGTCCTGAGAACTTGAGGTTACCCACTACAGGGGGCGTCCAGAGAGTTGCTGGGGAGTTATTTTCACTTTGACCTCTGGTTCGAAGTAACCTTCAGAATTTACCAAACACAGGTCTTCGAGTGGGTCTTCGAGTGGGTTGCCTTTTCTGTTTCAAATCTTAAACAATTTCCGGACGATAATTCTAGCAGACATTTACAGAACAGTGTTTCCTATGTGCTCTGGGCATTATTATACATTTTGTTCTCACACCCATCCTATGAGGTAAGGCACCTCTCGTTTTCAGATGAGGAAACTGAGGTTCACGTAGGTAGGTAATGCACCCTGAGTCACTGAGCTAGCCCAACCTGGAATTGTGGCTGCAGCCCATGTTCTTTCAGCTGCTCTTAACTTGGGGGGTGGGCACAGCCAAGTTTTCCAATGGTGATGCCCCCAGTTGACTAATAAATTGTAACTCTCCCTTCATGGTTGGTTCCTCTTCCCTCCTCGCCACCTTGGATTCCATGTAGTGCCTCCCTCCTCCGCCAGCACCAAAGGCAATGTGAAGTGAGCCATTTCTCCCATCTGTTCCTGGAAGCATGCATTTCCACATTTCCATTGTCTGTCCAGTATCCAGTCGTGAAGGTCTCCACGGGTTTCTGAAGTTCATGCTGTTAGTAGACATCCAATGAGGTATGACTTAAGGAATGAGAGTTATAAACTTTTCATTAGAGTGTAGGGGGGAAAAAAGTAGGCTCAACGATTCATTCAATAAACCATATTGATATGATTTGTGTCTGATCTCTCATTTCCTGTGTGGTGATGTTTCTGACTTACTCTGAAACATAAATTGTGTGAATCGGCTATGGCCACAGGCCAGGTTTTCATGGGAAGAAACAGAGGTAAAGCCCA